GTGAGCGCGGCGGCGGCGGGCCCGGTGGCTTCCAGCCCGCGTCCCGCGGCGGTGGCGAGCAGGAGACGCAGGAGCTGGCCTCGAAGCGACTGGACATCCAGAACAAGCGCTTCTACCTAGACGTGAAGCAGAATGCCAAGGGCCGCTTCCTCAAGATCGCCGAGGTGGGCGCCGGCGGTTCCAAGAGCCGCCTCACACTGTCCATGGCAGTGGCCGCCGAGTTCCGCGATTCGTTGGGCGACTTCATCGAGCACTACGCGCAGCTGGGCCCCAGCAGCCCGGAGCAGCTGGCGGCAGGCGCAGAGGAGGGCGGCGGGCCGCGGCGCGCGCTTAAGAGTGAGTTCCTGGTGCGGGAGAACCGCAAGTACTACCTGGACCTTAAGGAGAACCAGCGCGGCCGCTTCTTGCGCATCCGCCAGACGGTCAACCGCGGCGGCGGCGGCTTTGGCGCGGGCCCCGGGCCGGGCGGCCTGCAGAGCGGCCAGACCATCGCGTTACCCGCGCAGGGCCTCATAGAGTTCCGCGACGCATTGGCCAAGCTCATCGATGACTACGGAGGCGAGGATGACGAGCTAGCGGGCGGCCCGGGAGGCGGCGCCGGAGGTCCCGGGGGAGGCCTTTACGGGGAGCTCCCCGAGGGAACCTCCATCACGGTAGACTCCAAGCGCTTCTTCTTCGACGTGGGCTGCAACAAATATGGGGTGTTTTTGCGAGTGAGCGAGGTGAAGCCGTCCTACCGCAATGCCATCACCGTGCCCTTCAAAGCGTGGGGCAAGTTTGGAGGAGCCTTTTGCCGGTATGCGGATGAGATGAAAGAAATCCAGGAGCGACAGAGGGATAAGCTTTATGAGCGCCGTGGTGGGGGCAGTGGCGGTGGCGAAGAGTCTGAGGGTGAGGAGGTGGATGAAGATTGAAACTGGCAGCTCCCCTACAGGCCTCCCCCGACCCCACCATCAACCATACCCTTGGCTAGAGAGCTCTCCTTCCTGCTCATGCCCAATGAGCTAGTGGAGACAGGAGCAAGGGAGGCCACAGAGGGAAAAAACAAAACAAAAGGTAAAATAGAGAAATAACCTTCACGGACAATTAGAGAAAAACAGTAAAGTTCCAAGGAACTGACAGCAACCTGCAAAGAGAGGACAACAGCATCTCCTCATCTGCACAAAATAGTCTCAGCTTCTGTTGTTTCCCAACTGAGGTTTCTAAATCCATCAGAGCAATCCTGGAGGGGATAGATCCTCTCACATCTGGGCCAAGAAACACATCTGAGTTATCCAGATCCATTGATAACAATTGGATTTGTGTTGTACCTGGGTAATCTGTTCTAAAAAATCTCTCCGGGCCTCACTGTTGCAGTGTTTATTCCTTCACCTCTGTTGAAATCAGCATTTTGAATCCAGGTCTTTGTGGAACCCTTGAGAAGACGGAGGCCTTTGCAGTTACTGAGTTCTGAGGGTAGAGGCTCATGAAAAGGAATACAACTTTAATCATGGGCAGGGCAAAAATGAGTTTAAGAGGCTGTCGGAGAATACAGTAACAAATTGGAACTGTCTTCTTTTAAATGGTTTTGCTTGGAACCTGGACCACTGTCCATGTCTTTTCTTTGCAGAATTGTTTTCCAGGATGCAAATGGATTCAGATATCAATGCTCAAACTAGAAGTCATTACTAAAAAGTTTTAAAGTTGGCAAAATTTTTCAAAGATAAAAGTTTTACATTGGGGATTGCTGAGGTAGGCACAAGACAAAGTTAGGCATAAAAGCACAAGGCAAACCGAGTGGATTGGTTGCTGCTCACTAAAGTTCTTCCTGTAATCTCTAAATATGGAGATCATTACCAAGAAATGGCTTAGGTATGAATGAGAGCCAAATCTCCACTGCGTGAGCCAGTGAAACATGGCTAATTCGGCTGTTACAGCCACTGGTTGGCTGGATTTTAAACCATAAACTTGAAGATTATCTACAAAAGGAACAGTGTGGCTACAAGCCTGAGCTTTAATGGAATATACGTCCTCACAGAAAAGTTGGAAATAACCAAAACTGAAGTCTTAATTTACCTTCAGTGAATCTGTGGATTTGTTCAAATACTAAAGATCCTCAGGTCCAGAATTCCAGCATCATTTATTCTTTTAAAATAAATTTTTAAGAACTTAATCCGTTGTATCAGTACCTCACAATCAGAGTTGGCTAATGATGGATGAGTGATTCAAGCAGTGCACCTGGTGGAAGCTGAAATCCATCTGTGAATGGAACTGAAGTAATCGTGAATATGCTGACTATATCCTGGAAGCATTTTTATACCATCTTGAAATTTCAACAAACTGGCTTTTGCCAGTTTATCCAGCTGTCTTTCAAGAATAAAAGTTGGGGTTTTCAAGGATCGCCTCTTCTATATTTTAAATGGATTTTCAGTAGAAATGATTTTTACTAATCAAGTTAATCCCACCCCCATCAAAAGGTATTCCTAGAAATGTCCTAGACATAGGTAACTTTGAATTGAATGGGAGCTAACCTTCTTTCCAAAGTTTTAAGGTATTCTTTGTGTAACACCTTCTCAACCAGGAGGCAAGTAACCCCACCTCCATAATCTTAGCATTTTTTTTAACTGCATGCCTGCCCTTTATTTGAGCTGCCTTTTTAATTTATTGCATATCCTTTTTATTATCTTATTTTGGTATTATTCAATCTATACAATCTTTTTGTATTTATTGGGAAATGAGTAATATACAAAAAGGTTTTCATGTATTTGTGGCTGAGAGGGTGGGAAATAATTGTGTATATATAATTAGGCTTTTTTAAATAATAGACTATGATGCAGAATATCATTGATCTTAGATTTAAAAAAAAAAGTGGAAGAGCCACAAACATTGGTGCCCTTTTCAGACTTTCTCTACTCATCATCCACAGTAGAATTTTTAAACAGATTTTTTTAAAGCTTTTCTTTTAAATTTTTCTCCGTTGCAAAGAATGTTTCCTAAATTGTATGGGAGCAATAGTATTTTTGATGTTTTAATGACATCCGTATACTTGTACTGTATTTTGTACTACAAGGCAGCTGTTTTCAATAATGTCCTGCTGTATTTACCTATGTGTTCTGAGTGTTTTATTTCTTTGCTGCGGAGAACAAATTCCTAATAGTTTTAGTAAAGGAGCTGAGAAGCTAGCATTAGGTTTGCAGAAACTGTTTAAGTTTCAAACTCTGAGGCAGCAATGAAAATTAAGGTTGCAGCTATTAGTTGATTGCTGTAACTTTTTCATTTTCAAACCATGTATAATTCCTGTATAGACCAACTTGTTTTTCTTGCTTCAGTGGTGGTTCTTTTGCTCAGCTGCAGTGAGCCAGTTCAATTTTGCAAAGGTGCAGTACCTCTCCTTTTCAAGGAGTTGGTTTATTCTTTTTTTCTTTTTGTTTGGCTGAATTGCAGTAACTAGCCTTGCCTTTCTATTTTGTAGAAATGACAGGGTCTTCACAATCCTTCACCAGTGGCTACCAAGCTATAATTAGCTGAATAGAAAGAATGTGGAAGTGGTCTGAGGCATATAGAGTATATGCCAAGAACACTACCATATATGGCATCAGCTTTGGTTACCAGAGAAATTTTCTTAGTCATTAGACCATATAACAGTAATATATCATATGTAAATCTTTAGATGTCAATTTGAGAATCCTCCAAAAAAAGGAGCAAAGAATGCATAAGCTATGTGTTGGCAAAAGTAATTTATATTAAAATTTTGACCTGCCTATGTAAGATTAAGTGGTAAATGTCATAGTGGTGGGTTTTTAAGTCTTAACCAATCTCTGAGGTTTGTTCCTCCTGCAGGGGGTGATTCATAGTCTCTCCCCACTGCGGGAAGATTGCAGAAGAATGTGGATGAATTGTAGTATTTCATCGATCCTCATTCCAATCACTAGGGACAATAGAAATCTGCAAAGCACAGATTTGTTCATAAGTATTATCTTATTAAAGGAAATGGTCTTTGTTAATTAGAGTCAGATAATAGCATTGTATGACTATGGGAAACAACCAATTTTTTTTGTTTTGTTTCTCAGCAGCTTCTGTGCACGATTTAGAGCTTGTTTTTTAAGTTTGGCAAACATCCCAGCTAATCAAAATCATCATATTCCTGAGAAGTAGGGAACTAAAACTACTTTTCAAACAATTGGTGGAGGGTTTGTTTCTCAACTACCATAGTTACAGAGATGAGAAGTCAAATTTTGGGAACAGAATCAAATGAGCAAAAATCTGTGAAGAGATTACTATTTCTGGTTTCTATTGTCCCCATCTTTTCAGCAAATGGAATGGCAGTTATAGTCAGCAAATTTTTCAGTGCATATGCTGCACAAAACAAAGCATAAATTTGTATGGCACCAAAAATCAAAGTGAAAACCAAACCAAAAACCCAGACACCCTATGTAACTATTGGAGGCATGTAGGTGGTATAAAGGACTGTAGCTGTGACACACACATGGCTACTTGTCACGTCACTTTCCATAATTATTTACTGTGAAATGATTGAGAGGCTTTTGGTGCAGGCAGCCATTAACCTCCTGCTTCCTTTGTTGCCTCTGGATCACTTTGCAGCAAATTGCAGGTCTTTTAATAGATTCAAGCTTCAGTTTTCTCAAAACAAAACAATTATCCTGTCTTACCTGAAAATAGCAGGGTTGTGGGCAAAAGAGGCTGGTTATAATAATGCCCTCATATTGAGTGGTCTATAAACGGCTGCACACTTCAGGCACTAGTTACTGAAGATGGTTTGTTAAATGTGACCTTCACTGGCTTTACAGGGGTGTAGAATGTAAATCTACACAAGGTGACTTTGTTTGCATCTACCTTGCTCTTGAGGTGGATGAAATTAGGAGAAGCTGGAGTGTGTAAGCCATGCACATAAGAATTCTTCACTGTAAATTTTGTTTTCATTTTTAACCCAATTATGGTACTTTGTCCAATGCACAACTGATCTCTCAGTAGATATTCATTTGAAAATAGTGTGGCCTTGATCAGTGAGAAGGGAAAGGAGAGAAGTGACTTTTTTGCTTATATAAAAATGACTCTTTTGCTGAGAGTTGTCATTCTGCAGTACTCTTAGTATAATGTTTGTGATGAGTCTCCTTTTTGATTGGGGAAAGTTAACATTTTTGACCCTGGAGTTTAGTTCAGTTATCTTCTGTTTTTAGGAAGTATCAGAATTGCTCTGCTGAATAACAAAGTTAACTGCTTTGATGTTCAATCTCAGGTTTTAGAATATAGTGGTGTAAAATCCCACTATTGTTAATTCTTAAAACAATTTTAATTTAGTACGCCCTAAAAGTCACGTGCAAAAGGCCTGTTCAGAGAGCAGGGCCTCCATCCTTTTGCTCCTTTTCCACTTTGTACTTCACTTGAAAAAAATGTCAAGTGATTTTACATTGTATATTTCCATTTTAACCCTGATATATTTCTCAAAGATAAAGCACTTTTTGATCATGAAATACATAGAATCTTTGTGTGATGTGGATCATGGTTTCTCAGGCTCCCTTAGATAATCTGCTTATGAGTATTGTTCTAACTCTGTAAGAAGAGTAGAGATCTTTGCTAATGTTAGAAAGTTTGTATTATTGATCCAGAATGCATTTTGCTAGTTTCCAATGGATGGGAGAGTAAACAATGCTGCATTCACAATTTAATATGTTACTTTCCCTAGAGCCTTAAGGTAACTTTCTTTTCTGTTGACAACAGCACTGAAGTTATAGTAAATGAATGAGATTATCAGTTTTCAGGGTTGGTTTTAGAGTACTGTAAATCAATTAGCTGTCTTCCTAAAGAGTTAACAACTCCAATTCAATATACTGGATGATGGGTTGTGTGGGTGGGACTGGGGTGGGTGGGATAGTTTGTAGAAAAGAAAAAAAATTTACATTTAAAAAAAAAAAGAAAGAAAAAAAGTGCATGTCATGTGCCCTGTTTGAAATTCCAGATGTGAGGTGGAAGCGGCAAATTATAACTTCATTTTTTCCATTTTTAATTTAGGCAAAATATTAATTTTCAAATATTAGCCCCAGAAGTTTCAAGAGTTGGACTCTTGAATAGTGAGTTCTATTGATATAGCTGACTTTGCTATTTAAAGTCTTCTTTCCCAGCCCTCAGCCTTAGAACCTAGTTTCGTTACTGATGGATTTAATAGACTCTTAGACAAATTTGGTCCAGTTGTCAATACTGACGGTTAGATTTGGAAAATGAAAAAATAATAAGATTACATCATGAAGACTTATTGCCCTGGTAATTCCCAATTTATCTATACCCCTGATCCAAGTAAAGCCTTTCTGAATGTATTTTATATTTCCTAAAGAAATAGGGAATATGCTGTCAGTGTAATCACCTCTGTTCACAATCTTTTACTTTGATTTGAAAATCTAACTTAAGCCTCTTGAATTAGACATTCCAGTTGGGATTAAGTACAGCCATGTTAAAACAACAGCAACTGCCATATTGGTAGTTTCACTGCTGAGTAGGACTTCTAATTGAGAGTAGAGCTTTATTAGAAACTAAAACTTTGTCACTTTTCTCCATAGATGTTTCTAACAGTTTGACAAAAGAAAATAAATGTACTTTTAAGTAACACAAGATTCTGAGTCTAGAAGCAAATTTCATTTCCACATGTTATATCTAATATCCATTGACATGGATTAGAGAGGAATAATTATATCTTTTTAGCATGATGAAATGTGGACCCAGAGTAGTGGAGAGAAAGCAGTAGACCTACTCATTGTCCACTAGCATGTTGCAGAAGGCATGAGTTTGTCTTTTTTCCTACTGTCAGTTACTCTAAAATAGCTTACTCTCAAGAAAATTGATTTAGACCATCTCTTGTTCTTAAAGGCAAAATATTTCATCCCCATCTTTAACCCTGTGTTGCAAGATTAGGCTAGTTTAAAAAAATTTTATATTTGGAAATAGAAGGGCAAGTGGTTTATTTCTTCCCTTTTTAAATTTCTTTTTTAGAGACACCTGCAGGGAGAGTGGATTATGTCAATAAACACATGTGGGTTGAAGGACTTTGGGAATTTGATTTTGAACTGGTAAGGTATTAGGCATAAACCTTTTTCTCCCAGCCCACATGTCACCCTGTATAGAAAAGCTCTGGATTCCTAAAAGTCAATAGATAGGGCAAACTGACTTTAAATCAGTACGGGACATACTTAGAGTTCGTGCTTTTGCACATTTTGGTAGCAGGCAAGTATATTTGACTTACTTTTGATAGCATCAATATTTGAATGCAGTAACTAAGATTGTCATTGTGTTTGGACTTCTTTTTTCTGAAGTTCTAAAACAGTTATATTAGTAGGGATTTATTCTTCCTTTTGGGCCTTCATGCAGATGTGTTTCCAAGATCATTTTTAATAATCCATCTGTCTTCTGATAAATTTCCAGATAATACAATTTCCAGTCTATAGGAATCTTCACTGCCAATCATATCTGGCAGTGGCTTCCTTAGATAACTAGATTCTTCACTTCCAAAGCTGGAACTGATGTCCTGCCAGTAGAGAATCTACAGAAATAATTTGAATGAATTAAAACCAAATCTTGATAGCAGGAGACAGCTTCCTGATCTAGATGTACAATTAGAAGTTAGGTTGGAAATTACTTTAAAAGGTGTTTGGGGGGATGTCTTTAATCTCTGTGTAAATACCCACAAGCTTATGCATTGTAAACCACGTGTGTATTCCTATGTATGAATTTGTAGAACTGACTTCTGCTTCAAGAGAAGCTGCACCTTTAATTTTATAAGGTCCCCTCTACCTGTAACCCTATAAATGTTTGTAAATAGAACACTAAAATTTGTAGTGATAGGATCAATTTGGGAATATCTGCTGAGAGACCAAAAAGTTCATTTTTTTAAGTACCTTGGTTAAAGAGTAAAGATTATTCCTCTTGCTTATTTTTTAAAAGAAGAATGCACTTTAACAAACATAGAGCTGCATGGGCTATTCAAACAAATCCATAAAGTGCAGTACCCATTCAGAAATCACACTTCCTGAAAACCGTACAAAAACAGAGTCCAAATGGGCTGTTGATCTCACTGCCTGTAGGTTGAAGCTCAGATTCTGATCAATTTTGAGAGGAGCAGGGCTGCTTCAAAAGAGCAATATGAATACAGCCAGAAGCTTCAGACAGGTCTGTAAAAATGGCGGGTCCGGTATTTACCACTAACTAGCAAAACTGACAGAAAAACTCATAGAGAATAAAGTTAAGAATCCTTCCTGCTGGTGTGCACTCCTTACAATAGACTTTTGGAAATGGAGTTTTACAGTCTATATTTAAAAAATTGTATGTTTGTAACAAATAAAGTATGCGGAAAAGTGAATGACAATCTTGTGCTGGTGTCTCTCATTTAAGGAACTATGTGCAGTTGGGGAGGGAAATGCTTACTGCTGGGCCTCACAAATGGGTATGGAATTAGGACGTGAAAATTATGGCACATTTCATCTGAACTATGGACAATTTTAGAACTTAGAGAGATTCCCAAACCCTTTTTTGATAATCTGTGGAGTGAGTCAGAATTGCAAGTTAGTGCTAACGCTGTGGTTCATAACCCAGACCGGCCACTTGCTTCCCTGAATTTTTTCCATCATTCACAGTGGCTTGAAAGAAGCTGCTGTCCAGGCGCTCTCTCATCATTTGTCAGCAGCATAACTGCTAAGGCAAATCTGTTCCCCCTAATGTTAAATGAAAAGTAAAATTACTGTGTCCATTGATCCTAGCTGGTGGTTTCCAAATTTTTGGTTACAAGAACCCTTTTAGAACTTAACTAAATACACCTGAGGAGCCTTTAGCTCTTTGAGCTATATTGATAGATATCTGTCATATTAGAAATAGGAAAATAGCAAAGCACACATTCCATCTGCCATCAGAGCAATGACATCACATCATTTGACCTCTGGAAAACCTCCACTGTAAACTTAGGACTTAACCAGGGTATGAAGATGAAAAAAGGTAAATGATGTTCTGAAAGTAGCTTTGTCCTCTTGGATTCCCTGAGTCTCAGGAACTCCTAGGGAATTTTGGATCACTCTGAGACCACTGAACTAGACTGATAAGTAAATTAATCCTTTCTGAAAATGAGGGATGGGTTATGGTAAGATTAATTTTTTAGTTCCCACATTTTCTTTTTTTTTTTTTTTGAGACAGAGCCTCAAGCTGTCTCCCTAGGTAGAGTGCTGTGGCATCACAGCTCACAGCAACCTCCAACTCCTGGGCTCCAGCGAGTCTCCTGCCTCCACCTCCCAAGTAGCTGGGACCACAGGCACCCACCACAACACCTGGCTATTTTTTTTGGTTGCAGCCATCATTGTTTGGCGGGCCCAGGCTGGATTCAAACCCATCACCTTAGGTGTATGTGGCTGGTGCCTTAGCCACTTGAGCCACAGGCGCCAAGCCCACATTTTCTTTATATTATAAACTCTTGCTTTATATTAGAAACACAGAGACACCTGTGATTGTCCGCTTCTATGGTCTGGCAGGAGAGCTTTGAATGCTGATGCCCAGACCAACTGTATCAGAATCTCTGTGATGTGGGGGTGTTTTGTGTGTGTTTTGCCTTTTTAAACACATAGGTGATTCCAGTGTGTAGTCAAGGATGAGAACCAGTGGCCTGTGGGAACGGAAGGTACAAAGAAAGATTGAAGGATTGGGAATCTCTGCCAGAAGAAAACAATTCAGTATAGCAAAACATTCCTTGAATGTATCTATGGCTTTCACCTTGTAACCGCTGTGCCTGAATTACCCACAATACAACATAAACTTCTGCAATAACTAAAGAAAAGTTTGCAAATGAAATCCTTGAATATTATGTTAGTAGTCCCGTTGCTGGGAAACTCCTGAGTTTTACTAACACAGAGGATGGTGGATCAGAATTAGCTGAACAGGTTAAACATGGGTTGCTGAGTGTCTCATTTAGCAGATCTGGGGGGTGTGGTCCTGAGAAGATGCATTTCTAACAAGTTCTCAGATAATGCTGGTCCTACTGGTTTGATGACCACACTTTGAGACTCACTGTAGAAATCACAAAAGTTCTGAGGAAAATTAGCCTCTTTGTTGCCGACTGACAGTGGCCTCAGAAAGTATTTGCCTTCCATATCCCTGCCGAGCCCTGCTGTGGTTGAGTCTGCTTCACTAGAAAGCCTCCTGTAGGTGGTCTGCATTTTTTAGATTTATGTAAAGTTCATTACTAGACAGGTTTAAGAATAGATGCAGCCAGGCTATAGCCTGAAGAGCTGTTTTGAAGCCAATGCCTCAAGGAATAAAACTATTACTTAATGGTTTTGGTATTTTTAAATGTTATCTGCCTTATCTACCTTTTTTTTTTAAGTCGTGGGCAGGGCAAGGGGACTTGCTGTGTTCCTGGATCAAGCAATCCTCCCACCTCAGGCTTTTGAGTTGCGTGGTGGGGACTACAGGCCTGAGCCACCGCCGCAGCCTAGTTTTCACCTGTTTTAAAGTTGTGAGCTAGATTCTATACTTGACTCTGTCCTAAAGAAATAGGGTGATTCTGGGCAAGTATCATTCACAAACAGAAATCCTTAAAGGTTCTCAAAGAGTGTTTTCAAGACGCCACTAGGACTTGGGGAAATGAGAGCCACCTGCTGGTCAGTACCAAAATCTTTTTTTGTGGGGGTGGTGGAACTGGGTCTCTCTCAACCTGGAGGGACTCTGCCCAGGCTAGGCTCAAGCGATCGTCCCCTGTCAGCTTCCCAAGTAGCTGGGAATACTGACGTGCACCACCACACCCAGCTAATTTTTTAATTTTTTGTAAGACAGATCTCACTATGTTGTTGTCTTGAACTCCTGGGCCCAAGTGACCCCCACTTTGCTTCAGTTTCCCAAAGTGCTAGAATTATAGACATGCATAGGGTGACCAGATTTTAACAACGGTAAGGCGGGACAACATGGCCGGGGGCGGGGCAGGGGCGGGGCAGGGCGGGGCCTGACAACAATGCAAACTTTGATAAGCAGTTCCCGATAATCACTTCTCAGCAATTATTTGTTATTATTAGTTTAACATTGTAAGATTAACAAAAATAATATAAAACTCATATTCTGGTGAAATAGCCACGTGGCAGCTGAAAACCTAATATTCCCTTCTCTTCTCCTGCCCGTGTATTCTTTCCAAAAATCGGGACTTTTTTAAAAAGCCGAGGGACATGGGACAAATTGTTCAAAAGTGGGACGTCTGGTCACCACTGTGCCTAGACAGAAAATTTTTACACAGTGTCTTCTTAAATCTCAACAGAGTTAAGTGGACATCATATGGATACAGAGAACCTCCACAGTTGACCACCTACCTATATAGACCACCTCTGTAAATTGACCTGATCTTCATAGACTGGACATGCACCATGTGTACATCCCAGCACAGTAGGCCCAGTTCCTTATGTCAGCCACCTCCTTATGTTAACCAGTTTGTTAGTCTCTTGCGTGATCAACAGTACAGTACAACAGAATGTTCATACTGTATTGTATTCAGAGATTGTATACTAAAAAAATGTTTTATCAGCTCAATACGTTAAATGATAAAGAATTCATATCAGGCACATTGATGGCTATTTCCTGAGGTTTTATGTTTTGTTTTGAGGCACAGTCTCAAGCTGTCGCCCTTGGTAGAATGCAGTGACGCCTAGCTCATGGCAACCTCAAACTCTTGGTCTTAAGTGATTCTCTTACCTCAGCCTCCCAAGTAGCTGGGACTAAAGGCACCCACCACAATACCCAGCTATTTTTTGTTGCAGTTGTCGTTGTTTTGCCGGCCTGGGCCGGGTTTGAATCCACCAGCCTCAGTGTATGTGGCCGTTGCTGTAACCACTGTGCTACAGGTGCTGAGCCTCCTGAAGTATTTTTTGATGCCTGTCTTATTATTAAGCTGTGCCACATGGCTCACAATGTTTATGTAGAAATAAATTGAGAATTTAATTCTTCCTTCTATTAAGTCCTATTCAATCAAGCACAGGTAAATACATCTTCTGTAGTGGTAAAATGAAAACTCTTGGGCCTCTAGAGTTTAGAGAAAAATGTCTTTATTTCATGACCTATAAGTGGGGCATTGGCTGGTTGCATTTCATACGTCTGTTCCACTCTGTAGAGGTGCATTGTTCTCCTTTCAGGTAAACAACTTCCATTTGAAAATGAACAAGTCAGTAAATGAAGTGATTCTGTATTAAGAATTCATTGGGTGGCTCGGCGCCTATAGCTCAACCGGCTAAGGCGCCAGCCACGTACACCTAAGGTGGCGGGTTCGAATCCCCAGCCCGGACC